ATTCTGAGTTTGCCCTGGTCCGAAATCCGGCTCAATCCGGCTTAGTCCCGCTTAATCCGGCTTGATCCCGCTTAATCCCGCTCAAGCCGGCTTAGTCCTGCTTAGTCCGAGGCCCACTCCGGCGTAACAGCTCCCAAATGGGGATCCTTAATCTTTCCGACGGAAACCTCCCAGTAGTTGCCTCCTAACCCACCCCAAGCGCAGAGACCGCCCTTGGAGCGCTGCCTGGGCCTCGGGCCAGGCAGCCCGCTCCAGCCCCTCACCCGCCCACCGCCGACCTCGTGCACTCTGCGACGGGTGGGCGTACTGTCAAGTCGGGCGCGTCTCTCTACGGGAGGAATGTTCACGAGTAGTCGAACAATAGTCAGGAGACGATTGTTTTGTTGTTGTTTTGACCATTTTGGGGGCATTTGTGGATTATTTTTTGTTCTTCGCCTCAGATCCGCCTGCAGGGGGACCTGCCCGACCTCAGCGTGCTGCTGGCACGAGGGTCAAGAACGATCATCATTTGGGAGGGGTGCTCCTGTGCTCTTCGCCCTTGGGCTCCCCCACCTTGGGAGGCTCTTTGCTCTGGACATCCCCCGTCCTTTGGGAGGGGCCCTGAGCCGTCGACAGCCCGAGGCCCCATGGAGATACCTCCTGTGGCTTTTTGTCTCGGGCATCTCCACAGGGCCTCGCAGCTCTGGACATTTCCGTGGGGCTCTGCAGATCTGCGAAGGGGCCCATGCTCTTGACCCACGCTCTTGTGACCTTGCCTCGGCTGTTGGTCGGAGGGCGCCGGTGGAACGCCCACGGTGATCCTGGCCGGGCCACCCCTGGCCTCGTTCGGCTTCGAGGCCTTCGAGACTCTCGGGCGCTTTTCCGCCGGCCCCGGCCGGTCTTCCAGCCTCGGGGTGCTCTCAGCAGCGCCTCGCCGAGAGGCGTCCGGGAGGGATAGCCGCATAGCCCTCTAGCCCTCTAGCCCTATAGCCCTATAGCTCTATAGCCTTATAGTCCCATGGCCCTATAGTCCAACAGCCCTATAGCCCTATAGCCCTATAGCTCGATAGCCCTATAGCCCTATAGCCTTATAGCCTTGTAACCATGTCGCCCTGTCGCCCTAGAGCCCTATTGCTCTATAGCCCTATAGCCCTATAGCCCTATCGCCCTATAGCCCGATAGCCCTATAGCCCTATATCCCTGTAGCCCAATAGCCGATGGTCCTACAGCCCTATAGCCCCATACCCCAGTAGACTCATAGCCCGATGGCCCTGTCGCCCTATAGCCCCATAGTCCCCGAGCCCCATATCCCCATAGCCCTATAGCCCTACAGTCCTAGAGTCCTATGGCCCTATAGCGCTACAACCCTATAGCCCTATAGACCTATAGCCCTATGACCCTATAGCCCTATAGCCCCCTAACCCTATAGCCCCATAGCCCCATCGCCCAATGGCCCTATAGCCCCATAGCCTTATAGCCTTAAAAAGACTGTGATCGTTTTTCCTCCAGTAACATATTTGTTTTCTATGTTTAGTTGTTGGGATCCTTTCGAGGTCTCCCGGAGCTGACCAGGAGGCGTCCGATCCGCGGGAAGCTTTCTCTGACGAGGGCGGCGGTGCTGTCCCTGCGCGGTCCGCGATTCGAGCCCACCGGCCTCCGCACCTGGCGGGCCTTCCCCGAGCGCTCCTTCTCGAACGCCTTCGCCTTACAGCCGAGCCACAGTTCGGATATCGTCGTGTGTTCCTTGTCTTTAGGGGAGCCCGGGGCAACAGCCGACCAGGAGGCGCAGCGCTGCCGACATCACAGCGGGATATCGCAAGCCGTTGTGGGTTGCAGCCCAACGGTCTCCAGAAGTGCCCGTCGGTCTTTGCAAGTAGGTATTTTTTGATTTCCATAGTCGATTCTACTTTAAGCGCCTTCCTGCTTCAATGCTCGAGTGGCTTCTCCTTCTCCGTCCTCCCAAAGGGGGCGGACGGAACCCGATCTACTGTCAGCGCCTTCCTGCTCCATGTTTCTACGCTGGGGGCGTTCGTTGAGGAATGTGCCCAGGAGGCTTCAGACCCTGGAGGACTCCTCATCTGATGAGGGCGGCGGTGAGATCCATGGCCAAGCCTCGATTGGAGTTCCACCGGCTTCCATACCCTGGATTCCTTGTCGAAGGGTTCCCCATCCGATGCCCCCGCCGTGCCTGCTTCCTCCTGCTCCAGTGCTCGAGTGGCGGCTCCCCTTCTCCGTCCTCCCGAGGGGGCGGACGGAGCCCGATCTGCCCTCGACGCCTTCCTGCTCCCGTGCTTCTGCCTGCCTCCTCCGGCCGAGGGGCAATAGCCGGCCAGGAGCGAGCCCGGCCACGGCCGGCCTGGCCGCGGCTGTGGCCCGCGCCCTCCTGGCGTGGGCCAGCTGCGCGCGGCCCCCTCCTCTCGGTGCCCCTGCGCCTGCCGGCGCGCGGGAGGTGGAGGAGGAGGAGGAGGAGGAGGAGGAGGAGGAGGAGGAGGAGGAGGAGGAGGAGGGAGGAGGAGGGAGGGAGGAGGAGGAGCTGCGTACGGCCCCCTCCTCTCGGTGCCTCTGCGCCTGCCGGCGCGCGGGCTGCCAAGGCAGCGGCTCGGCGCCTCGGCGGCGCGGCCGTGGCGTGCCCCGCTGCGAGGCCTCGCAGGCTCTGCGCCCCCACGGGGGCTCTTCGGGCGCACCCCATACGGTGGGGGCGTTGGTTAAGGAATGTGCCCAGGAGGCTGCAGACCCTGGAGGACTCCTTGTGTCTGATGAGGGCGGCGGTGAGATCCATGGCCGAGCCTCGATTGGAGTTCCACCGGGGTCGGACCCCGGATTCCTTATCTAAGGGCTCCCTGTCCAAAGCCCCCACCGTGTCGAGGCTGGGCGCCCCCCCGTCGCCTATCCCAGGGTTCGGCCCCAGGTTTCTGGTCCGTTCGAAAACACCACGAAGCCTGGGGTGGGGGTCGACGTATCTCCCCCTGTGACGGCCTGCCTCGGCGCGCCCGCGCGCGTCGTGCCCTCGCTGGACTGTGACCACCCGCGGGAGGAAAACGAGCGAGGGCCGGAGGGCGGAGGAGAGCAGCCCAGGGGAGGGAGGGTGCCGCTGCCGCTGCTCACTCTGGAGGGCCGTCGCCGCCATGGCCGGTTCCTCCTCATTTTCCTCCTCCTCCTCCTCCTCCTCCTGCTCCCCTCCTCCTTGTTCTCCTCATGGAAATTCGTGTCAAGACGCGTCCAGGAGAGGTCCGGGGAATAGCGGTATCGGTGCTCTTTGCTTGCTGCCCCCCAGTGTCGAGCAGGGATCACGGAGGGATGTGAACGAGTGAGGGGCTGAGGACGGAGGAGAGCACAGCAGGTACAGCAAATAAGGAATCGGCCTGCCAGCTGGTACCCCGCAGCAGTTTCCTATCCCACGGTGGCCCCCAGGGACTCCCAGAAGCCCCGGGATATCTGAGGTGAAGGGCCTGTTTTCCACCACCACCACCACCACCACCACCACCACCACCACCACCACCACCACCACCACCACCACCACCACCACCACCACACACACCACACCACACCACACCACCCACCACCACCACCACCACACCACCACCACCACCCACCACACCACCCCCACCACCACCACCACCACCACACCACCACCACCACCACACCACCACCACACCCACTACCACCATACTATTTCCACCTCCCTAAGTTGGAAGGGGTGAGGGGGTTGAGGATTGCGGAGGAGGAGGACGAAAGAGGAGGAGGGGGGTGGGGGAAGGGTGAGAGGGAGGGGGAGGGGTAGGGGGAGGGGAGGGGAGGATGAGGGGATGGAGGAGGAGGAGGAGGAGGAGGAGGAGGAGGAGAGGAGGAGGAGGAGGGAGGAGGAGGAGGAGGAGGAGGGGAGGAGGAGGAGGAGGAGGATGGAGGAGGAGGAGGACCCCCTCCCCCTCCTGCCTATGGTGGTGGCGGTGGAAAGCAAGCCCACCATGAGGGTGTCCAGGGATCACGCCCTTGGATGCCTTCTAGCAAGATTCCTCACCGTGCGTACCCGGTGCCTGGTGCAGCGAGCCGGGAGCAGCGATGGGACAGTTGCGAGCGAGGGGTGGGCACGCCGCGGCCTCGGCCTGGGGTGGGGGCGAGGCCCCCGAGGGGTGGGGTGGGGTGGGGAGGAGGGCGCGCTACCTTGGGGTTAACGCCCGCAGTTCCGAGTTCCAGGTAGGAAGGGGAGGAGGAGGAGGAGGAGGAGAGGAGGAGGAGGAGGATGAGGAGGAGGAAGGAGGAGTGGAGCAGGGGAGGAGCAGCAGGAGGAGGAGGAGGACGGAGGAGGAGGAGGAGGAGGAGGAGGAGGAGAAGAGGAATGGATGAGGAGGTGGAGGAGGAGAGGAGGAGGAGGAGGAGGAGGAGGAGGAGAAGGAGGAGGAGGAGGAGGAAGATTCGGGAGGAGGAGGAGGCGGAGGAGGAGCAGGAGGAGGAGGAGGGGGAGGAGGAGGAGGAGGAAAAAAATGATGGAGTGGAGGTATGAGGAGGAGGAGAAGGAGGAGGAGGAGGACGACGATGTGACGATGATGTGATGCATGATGATGATGATGTGATGATGATGATTGATGATGATGATGATGTTGATGTTGAGATGGATGATGATGATGATTATGATGTCGATGGTTGATGATGATTTGATGATGATATGGATGATGATGATTGATGATGATGATGATGATGATGATGATGAAGTCTGATGATGATGATTTGTGTTGTTGATGATGATGATGATGATGATGATGATGATGATGAGGTTGATGATGAGGAGAGAGGTGGAGGAGGGAGGAGGAGGAGGAGGAGGAGGAGGAGGAGGGGGAGGAGGGTTGCGGAGAGGCGGCGGAGGAGAGGAGGGAGGAGGAGGAGGAGGAGGAGGAGGGGGAGCATGAGGAGGAATGAAGATAGCTGTTGGGCCGTGAGCTGCCAACGGTGCGGTTTCGCGTTAGCCTGGCCAGCCAGATCGTAGGTGAGCACGCGCATCTCCCAGTCAGCGCGCGTTTTGGGCC